GTCCAAAGGCCATTCATCAATCCTCATCGTCATTGACTTCGAACACAGACATGCAGCAGGGACCAAAACAAGCCTGCGCATGCGACTCACCGCAACAAGGGTTAACAAACCCACGAGTACAAAAGTACTCAACAAGACTAACCCGACGTAACGGGTGTAAGACTTTCGAGATGAGGATTTGGGACAAGGTAAGGATGAAGCAAGATTCAAAAGTTCTTAGCCAAAAGCTTACTATTCTTCATTCTATTTTCAAGTTTACCACTAAGTTCTTTTAGTTCATTATCTCAACTAAATATACATTTCCCATATTCCATTCCTTCTCATTCCGTTCTTTTTCTCATATTTTAGTAATTCACCAAGATCGCATTGCTTACAGTAATGAATCGAGTCTCCATATCCATGAGCACGGCAATTCGAATTGATTCAAGTCCCAAATTTGGGATTCCTTATCACACGACATATGTAGAATTTAATCTTGCATATATCAACCTCGCGCTCGGATCCTCCTATACTAAGCCGTCTCCACGCCACCCGAGAGCACAAAGACACCTCAAATCCGCCACATTCCAAACCCACGAGGGTACACGCTACTCCGCCATCTCTCCACTCCCGGTCTTGCTGGCATTCGTCTTAGCATCGGATTAGTCAAGTAGGCTTACGGAGTATGTGACCGAAGACTACAAAGTGTCTCGTTCAAAAGATCCACAATGAGTGGCCTTTAAGCGACATAGTCGGCAACATTACCCATAATTCAAGATAAGTCACCCGACTAGTCTCTAATTCATTCTACATCTTTTCTTTCTTTCTTTGGCGGTATGCCATCTTTGATTGTATCGAAACTTTTACTTTGAAAGCCTACCATAAAGCATACTAAGCACACTACGCCTTTATAAACAAAAAACATCTTCAAGGATGGTAAACAATTATCAAGGTAGGTAATGCATCAAGTAGGTAACATTTGAATTAAACAACTTAATGCAATAAATAATATAGGTGATAACTTTTCAAAGTAAACAAGGTAATGGCTTAATACATAAACAGGGGCTTGCCTTCATTGACGATCTAGGTCCCGGATTAGTACCACAATTATCAAATCCGTGACAACCAGGGGATTCTTCCGAACTTGCTCAACTAGAATCGTTTCGTTCTCGGGTTCTACACGAAATGATAACATATGCTTTAACATGATGATAAGGTAAACATGATGCTTTCACGGCACATGAAATATAAAAACACCCATAAACGATTTGATTCGGCAGATGCGGTTGCAAGCCAACAAAACCAACTCAGTAACCCTATCATTAAGAACTACATGTGACTTGACCTAATGGATCTTGGAACCCTACTAGTCATAAAACATGACCAAAACAAGATCCAACACTAATCAAACACTTAGGGTTTGCTTTTATCTATTTTTGAATTAATTTGGAATTAAGCCCAAAAATAAACTTGTTCCAAATGATCTCAAAAATTTACACAAGCATCCTCATGATAAATTAGTGTACCAAAATAAATTTCATAATTTTTGGAGTTATACAGTGGCCTACAAAAATCATGGAAATTCCATTTATTAATTAATTGACTGAATATTTGAACATTCAAAATTTATCCAAATTTCAAATTTCAAATTTTTAAATCATACTAGAACATGTACAGAAGCTACACAAAAATTTTCAGAATTTTGGATGTGTAAATAAATTCCTACAAAATTGCAAAATTGTCGCACTATTCAAAAATCGAGAAAATAACCAAAGCTCACCGTTTCTTCTTTCTCACTTTCACCGACAAATGGGCTGGGCCATTGTCAATGAATAATAACGAAATCACGGTGGGCGCTGCCCTCACCACCCGGCCGCAAAATGCGCCGTCGGTGATGTTCGCTAAACCGATAGCACCAAAGTGATCTACTCTATCCCTACGAACTCATTTCCAACCACGTGGCAGGCAAGAGAAGCGCGCCGGAGGGAGGTCCACGTCGGCCATGGCGGCTTGACACGACGGCGGCGATCGACGTAGCTACAGCTACGGTGCAGTAGAGTCTAAATAAGAGCAAAGCATCGCGTTCGAGTGTCTCACCACGATCACGTCTGTGGGCTTGGTGAAGGCGAGACGCACCGAATCGTCGGGACCACGTGAGACCGAAGATGGTCGAGTTCCGCCGGACTCGGGGAAGACGACGCGTCGTCGGGCGGTAATTTGGACTTCAGGAGCGACCCGATCAGGCTTGGAATGAGCAGGAAGACGAGGCGGAGCTACTCTTGGCGGACGCCATCGACTCAGGGGCCGCCACGACGGCGATTTAATTACGCGAGTCTTGGCAGGGACCGGCGTGAAAGCAAATGACGGAAAAAACTCGATTTGACGACGGCGTGCTCCTATTTATAGCAAGAAGGAGGGCGGCGGTGTTGACAACACAGGCGAACTTGCCACGGAGGTTTGGGCGTGTCACGGCAGCGTGAAAGCGGTGAAACCGATCGGTGGTGAACTCAAGCGTGTGCCGTGGCAAGCGGTGAGGTGGAGATGATTTTTGAAATAATTACTGAATCGCCAACTGCATTTATTTCACAAATTACTCAGAAATTTTCTAAAGAAGTTGAAAATCTCCAAAAATAAAAGTTGCTCAACTTTTCAAGTACTACAACTTTGGTTTAAGAAACATTTTCAAATTTCTGCCTCCATTTTGAAATTCAAATTTGGGGTACATTTAAAGATTTGAATCATTTCAAAATTACTCCAAATTTTATATGTAAACTTGAAAAACTTTGAATACCAAAGTTGATCTACATAAAATAATCTCCAACTTTGCTTTTTGCCTCAACCCCAAATTCCTCATGGATTTTTAATTAGCCAAAAGGCAAAAGGACTTTTATAATTTGAAAATGAATTCAAATTTGATTTGTCTTCCTTTTACTTAGACTTTGATTTTGACCAGTAACATGGCCCATTAGGGTTATTTGAGTCAAAGAACATATGACCTCACATGATCACATGAAATTTAACCCCTGTGGTCATGATCTGTATTTAGGGTTTTTGAAACACATCACATGAAATAAGAACATTATGAAATAAACCTTATTTAGTAAATGCATTCAAAACTTTATACTAAATGAATGCTTTGCAATGCACATGATGACATGTCAAATTTTAGTATTAGGTCAAAACACCAGAGGTGTTACAACGGGGCGTCCGGACACTCGCGCCTGCAGCCATTTTGCGCGCTCACGTGGGGCCCACGCCACCCTGAACGTCACCAGCATCGAGAAAGAGGGGAGGGGGCAGCGGATGCCCAGCCGACGCCGGGAGGAGGACACTAAGGCAAGGTAGTAGAAAGCAAGGAAGGAGATGCAACACCCGATCTACTTTTGAAACATCCAGATGCAACAATTGCAACATACGTCTGAAAGGCAGTTGAAACACTTGAAACATGCATATGAAATACTTGCAAAAACACATGAAAACACTTAAAACCATTGTAAAACATATGCAACATCCATATAACACACTTGCAACATATGTGTGAAACATATGCAACACCCAAATAAACACACTTGCAACGTACGTCTGAAAAAACATATGAAACGGTGGGAACAGAAGCTTACAACATACGTGTACAAACATTACAACATGTGCAGCATCCCGATCTACTTTTGCAACATCCGTGTGACACACTGGTAACATACCTCTGAAACATCTAAAACACTTGAAATATATGCTTGCAATATGCACTTTTAGCGCAGTGTCACCTTGCTACTTGAACGAATGGAGGGTCAACGTTGCGGAGCTCGATGCCAGCGTGGAGGTCAGCGATGACACATGGAGCTCGCGGCGGCGCGGGAGGTCACCAGTGTAGAGCTTGCCGCTCTGGTGGAGAAGGCCGCGATAGATCCAGTGGAGAAGACCGGCTGCGGCGAGCGAGAGGTGAGGTGGAGAGGGAGGAAGACGGGCTGCCGTACTCTGGCGCGGTGGAGATGTCAGCTGGCGGAGCGAAGGCGTGGTGGAGAGCACGGTCGCCGACCCACGGCGTGCGGTGGAGCGCGGTCACGGAGCGTGGCACTGCGGTGAGGTGAATTTTTTTAGAACAGTTGAGGGCGAGTGGATAAGCAGATAAGATGCGGTCGTTGGGCTGATGCGGACGGCCCATCGTTGGGTCCGTCCGACGCCCTATACCAAGAACTACCGAAGCAGGAGGATATACCTCTGAAGGAAGAGAGTACAGAGTGTGAAGTGTTAGGAGATAAGTGAGGTGACTAATTTCATAGATTGATACTCCCTTCAATTAAAAAAAACATGTTGGTGAGGATAAGACTTTGTTAAACCTTAAAAAACCATACAAACATCAATAACTATTGGTAGTTCAGGAAATAAATTTAAATTGAGCATCCAACGATAGTTGAGCGAAGGATACAATTATTTCATTGAAGTATTTTATGGAATTAAGATAAACTACTTCAACCCGTCTTGTGATCCAAATAAGGGTGTTAGAGATGATAGTGCCTAAGGGGACACTAGTCAATCTAGCCCGGAGTCACTCACCTCTTATATATATCGACATTAAGTTAGGGACATGGTTGTAAGATACTCTCTTTTGGAAACCCTAGAGGAAAGACCGGGAGTTTTCTTTTATCTCTATTGTAATGGATCAATCAAAATTATAATAGGTCTTCCCAAGAAAACGTCCCCCACTAAGAGCCTCCAACCATTGTGCACCAAAAATATATACATAGAAATTCATCTTCATTAAAATCAAGGCTAATAAAACACCCAAACCAAATCGGATTGCCACAATTTGACGTGTGATGCGTCACCCGAGGCTTCAAACGCACCGCACGCACGCACGGCTTCAAACGCTCCGCACGCACACACGGTCGCTCGGCGAAGAGCGATCAAGCTCGCAATCACCGAATTAAAAAACGCCACCGTCGAACCCACCGGAGCCAAACCTCGCTGTCTTCACATCACAAGCCGCGATCGCTCGCGCGCCATCGCGCCGCCAGCACCGCATGGGAGCAAGAGAAAGCGGAGGAGGCGCCGCCTGGACCGCCACCGCCGCCGTCGAGAAGTGGAAGTCATGGCGCCCGCAGATCGTCGATGGGGTACTGAACGAAGGGGGAGCAGCGACAAGATCACGTGGAAATCGCGGTGGAGGCCACACGCAGCACCAAGGTTCATCCTAATCTCTGGTTCTTTTCTTTGCGTCGTTCTATCCTTTCTTCCCGAATCCCATTCGATTCATTCAGTTCTCAATTGGTTACCGTCTGGTGAACCATCGCTCCAACTAAGGAAAGATATTATCAAGGAGACCACCACTATTGATTAAATAGTAAGATCGAGGCCTGCTGATGGGCAGTCGTCAATTTGGATGTGATGAAATCACTCTTTTATTGAAAATGGGATTCATATCTGAAATTCCAAATGTATTTCTTCCTGTAGCTTTGAGTCCGTGGAATTTCTTGCCGGTGTGTATTACTCCTATTTTCTTGCATACATGCATAAAATTTGTATACTACTCAACGACGGAGCTTCCCTAGGGGCGGGGTGGGGCGGCCGCCCCAGCTACCAGCGCCGTAGCATCAGACCCCCGAACCCCCTCTTCTGCGTTCTTCTCCATCTCTGACGTCCGGCGACCGGCTGTCGAGGACGCGAGGCAGAGCGGCGACGTACGACGCGAGGAGAGCGGCGATGAACGACGTGTTCCGGCTGCTTGCTTTCTTGCTGGGCCTTGTTTTTGGCAATATAGGTAAGTTGTTTAGCCCACTAAGGGCCCAAATTTACTCCGCAATTCTCCAATCCCATTCTCCAGTTGGTGTTCCGCAGATCCACATCAGCGAAAGCGGCCAGCACGACGCCGCTACCAAGACGCTAAACTTCCTCTCCGTCCGCCGCCCACTTCTTCTCTCCACCCCCTTGCACTGACTTCAGCCCATTGCCATGGCGACGCCCATTTGCCCGCCCCTCCTACGCACTTGGCCGGTGTGCCCACCGCCTAGGCTGGGCTAGCTTAGGTGCGCCTCGCTGCCCGCCGAGGCTCGAAAGGTGAGCCTGTCTGCGCCCGGCGATGGAGGGAGGAGGAGAGGAGGAGCAGGAGCCGGCGCCTGGGACTAGGGCCGGCCATGGCCGCAGACAGGTTAGCGGAGCATGGGCAGTAGCTCCACCTCCACCAATATCTGGATTCGGCCGAGGTCGAGGTTGAAGCATTGGCAAGAACAACAAGAAAAATGGTATTGTTTTATGATTTTTCAGTTCACGAATCATTACTTCATTAGCATCTTAAATTATTAGCAAGACAGTAATAGAGTATGCTAATTTGACAAGTAATTTTTGTGCAGACTTGAAGAATTATTTTACAACTTTGAGTGTTGGTTCAAGTTCAGCTGGCAGCCGCCCAAGCACTAATGAAAGTGCCAACGCCACTACTTCAACGGCGGGAGAAGTTGTTCAAGAAAATGAAGCTATGCAGTTTGTAGCAACAGATTTAGCACACGTTGATATTGGTGTTGATGATGCACAACCACCAGAACCACAACAACGGCCACAGGAAGAAGAACAACAAGAAGATGAAGGTATCATCCTTATCACAGAATTTGACCCGCATGTTCATATTGTAGTTGATCCAAATCCAGCTCTTAGAATGCCAATTGAAAGATTTCATCCTAATGTTCAATCAGATGTTAGAAGGGCTTATTTATTGAGAGGTCCGACACAACCCATTGGACATAATTTCTCTATTCGTGATCGTGATAATATAAGGGAAGAACTTGAGACATTCCTTGTTCATGTGAGTAGAGTTGATGATTTCAAATCTTGTCATGACCTTGGAAGCTGGGCTACAACAATGATTGCAAATAAGAAACATATCCTTTTTCCATTGGTCTATCACATCATTGAGTTAGCATTGATCCTACCTGTGGCAACATCTTCAGTTGAAAGAGCCTTCTCAGCTATGCACTTCATCAAGACAGCTTTGCGGAACAAGATGGGTGATGAATGGCTCAATAACTTGTTAGTGTGCTACACTGAGAAAGGGATCTTAAGGAACTTGGTATTGATAAAGTTAAGAAGAGGTTTCAATCTATGAAAACCCGAAGAGTGAGCTTGCCAAAGAGCCCTCGACGTCATCAACATTCTTAGTCCTTCACCACTAGTAAGTATTTTCTCATGATGTCCATTATTGATTGAGGGCTACCATTATTTTATTGTTACTCGCTAAGACGCTAATTGATATTCATTCAATCTACAGGTTCATCCATTCTTAGTTATTTCACTTATTTGTAATTTGCAATGTATAGATCAACATCAACTAATCAAGAACTAGTTTATTCTTCAAATTTGAGGTAACATCTTTTGTTTCTCGTCTACTTTTCGTCGCCATGTGTGATCGTAGCGTTTTTACCATGATATGTGTGATTATAGTATGTGAATACGGTACATTGTGAATACGATATCTTTTTGGTTTATTTTCTGATTGAAATTCGCCCCACCTATAATTTTTTCCTGGCTCCGTCATTGACTGATTGTACATCCTTTTTCTCTCTCGTGAACAGACTAGAGATTCGGAGGTTGTGGCCTAGATTTTATCAGACCACCACGTCGTACCAAAATTAAGCTACAATAGAGGGGAATACCACCCCATACATCTACTTGATCTTGTGAGCCATTATTAAATCATGTGTGTCTTCTGCCCTTACTTCGTAATAGAAGCTTAGTGCACCCTCAAGGCGATCTACAAAAGACACATGCTTTGTTCTTATTTTACTTACTTTCTGCCAAGGTAGTTCAATGGTTTCATGATCTTTGGTGAGCAAGGTGCATTAGGCTATGGATCAGGTGCTCATTGACACATGATTCGGGAATGCAAATCAAACTGCAAGGATCATGTATCTGAGCAAATCAAACTGCAAGGACTAGGTAGGTAAAATCAATCTGAATCTTGTATCAGACGCGGTAACAGCAGGCCTCACTGCGCAAGATTGTATAGCATGTGCATTAAAGTGGTTTTTGGTGACTTTGCAGCATCCTGTACAACTGCGCACAGTGTACCTGAAGGAGAGCTTCACCATGGTGAAGAAATACGGGGCCACCCATGCTGCACACGCAGGAAGAGAGCAGGGTACTAAATTTATAGTTCATCTCAGAATCTTTAGTATGTAGCTTGCATGAATTTCATGATTATACCAACTCCTACAGAGAAGGGAAAAAAGAATTGAAGGAGTGAATGGGTGATTTTTAGGTCTTCCTAAAAATTAAGTGACTTCACTTTTTTCATGTACCTGATCCTGCTACTCTGTTTGTTAATATGGCTTCTAAAGTTCTTAGCGAACCATGAAGATTGGGCAGGCGTATCACGAGGAGTTCAAGCGCTCGCTTGAGGAGGACATCGCTGTGCACGTCACAGGGGACTTCTGCAAGGTGATGCGTTCTCGCTCTCTCCTGTTTTCCTTGCCTATAGAAGAATCAGTCTCGGTATCTCGACCTCATACGTCTGTGTGCGATCGATTTGTTGATGGTTATTCTCCGGCTAAAATATATCACATGTTCACCTTATTTAGTGTGTGAATGGTTGCAGACTTGCAGCAGCTTATCTCTGTGTGATTTATGCAAATAATATAGTTATGTCATTCTCCTTTTGCCCAAATGGCCAAACTAGGTTATTGCTGCCATGTTCATTTTGCATCAGCTAATAAACTACTATGTTACTTTTGGCATGTCCCTTCTGTATCAACTAATAATTTTTTTGATATTCTGATGTTCGCTCAACAAATTTTCCTTAAAAAGCCGGTTCAGTCAACAAGACAAAAAACGGTTCAGTCATGTGATTTTCATTTTTGCACACCTTATTACTTCAAGTGAGGTTATAGCTTATAAATGCCTGCAGACATTGGACGGTCATAGGTTGCCCTAATCAGACTTAAACAAATCACAATATTGGCTTTACAGCCAACAATGGGTTCCTTTTGTTAAAAGCATTGGTTATATTCCTGTGTACCTCTTTAGCAGGTTCAGGTAGACCAAATTAAATTATTGCTGAAATGGATAATATACATTGCTTAGTGATATGATGATGTTTCTCAGTTTCTGCATTGCCAATAGAAAAAAGAACTGAGAAATACAATTTGTGTCATGACAGATTTATGCTATCTCCTAGAGTCAGGTATGGAAATTGTGTTACATTATCAGGGAACAGTGAATTGGAAATGACTTCTCAACTTTGATGCATAGTTTGCTAGATAATACATGGAGAGGATAAATTTGATAAGCACCCTGCAAAGTTTTTGTGACTCTCTCAAAATTAATTGATTCCTCCATCACTTTCTTTTGGTGTTTCTACCTAAAGCAAACGTCAAAGTTGCGGTTTTCAAAAGTAGGTTGATGGTGAGGGTTCATGAATAGTGTTGTGAAGAGCCCAAAAATGAAAAAATGCGTGCTCTCTCTATTTTCTTCAATATGTTGTTTCTAGCCCCTTTCACTCAATATGTAGAAAAATGCTGTCTTTTGGCTTTTGGCTTTTACCGTAGCGTTAGCACGGGCATACTACTAGCTTTGAAATTAGCTGACAAAACTTGTATTTTGTTTTCAGTAAGGTTGCATATATTAATCTCTGGATAATTAGAGTCTTAATAAGTATATATTTGCTTGACCTGTTGAGGAAGGATTAGAAACCTTTGCTTGAGCGTTGATTCAACAATTTGCCTATCTCCTTTTGTACAAAGTGAAAAGGACTCTTTTTTGGGTTAAAGTTGGAGTCAGTTATCTGAAATATACTCTTTCTCATTTTTTTGTTAACCAATTAAATGTCAGTGATCTTTTTAATTGGCTGTTGAGAATTTTCAAGGTTTCTTAGGAACAACGTGAAAGTGATCTTTTTTTTTCTTTGAAAAGAAATGCAGGCAATTTGTGGATTACTGATTATGAGAGAAAAGATACAAGAATTTTGCAAGGTGCTCTCTAAAATAGTTGGAAGGTTCTTGTTGGATATTACACTGTCTACTTCAATTGTCATTTAATTTGTAGAATCAAATAGCAGCTGATGTTGTATTCTCTTGGGTCAACTCAAGTCCTATACTTCTGTTAGATAGAAAGTAGGTAAATTCTTAGGATATTATATTTCTTTAAGCCTGTGTTGATCTTCACAAAGATTTATTACTTGACTTTTCAAATGCTGCAGGGAAGAAAAAACTATTCACCACCCCTTAAAGTGTGTTGTGGCTAAACATATGAGTGCACTGGACATCCAGAAGACCATGCATTCATGCACCAGTTGGTTGGCAGCTTTGATGGAGGCTTCTGAATGTAGGGGAGCTTGGAGACGTCTGCCAAGGCGTGTGCTCTTGCACTAATGTTGAAAAATATTATTGTTCATATTTTAGTCAGTTAAGATGGACCTCTATTTTAGTTTTCTTTTTTATGTGAATCATAAATATGTCTCATTTTATTTGCATGAATCATAATATATCTCAATGATGCTTAATAACTTGACATATAAGCCTTTTTAGTTATTTGATTTGCATGGTTATATGATGTCGTAGCGTTAGCACGGGCATTATACTATCTGGTTAGAAGGGATGTTGGTTGTTTCAAAAGAAGAAGAAGAAGAAGAAGAAGAAGAAGAAAAGAAGAAGGGATGTTGGCAGACACCAGCGGGTCGCAAATTTCATAGATTGATTGATAGTCCAATCTATATAAAAAAACATTCAAGATAAGACTTAACCAAACCTTAAAAGTTATACAACATCAATAACTATTGTGCTGTTTACTTTGGAGACACTTGCTCCCTCCGTTTCAAATATAAATTGTTTTGGCTTTTCTAGATACATAGATTATTAGGTTATTGTATGCACCTACATATGTTATGTATAGATACATAACAAAAATTATGTTATATATATATACATAATAATAACTATGTACATAGTAAAAAAATATGTATTTAAAAAAAAACAAAACGATTTATAATTTGGAAAAGGAGGGAGTGTAGATTTGTATCCAAATTTCAAAATACTTCCATTGGCTCTATTCGCTTCGCTGAAAAAACAAACCGAAACACTGTTCTAGCTAATTTATTGTGAGAGAAAAACACACTTTCGGTTGAAAAAACAAGTTGAAAAGTACGGATTATAAATAAGCGAACAGGGCCATTGTATTCATGTTGTATTCTAGAAGGAATTACAGCCTGTTCGGGAGGTCGTATCGTATCGTAGATTATTTACTGCTGACTAGTTTGGTGTGAGAGAAAAACACTGTTCCCAGCTGGAAATTTACGATCATTTACGAGCCTGCGAACCGGCTGGTCGGGGAGTATTATGTAAGGAGTGCCATTTAGCATTTGTCCAGTCAATGTCAAAGAGGGAATATAATTCGGAGGCTAAAGACCTGCCGTTGAATTGCTTTGAGATTCGCGCAGCAACACTGGGGAGTCGTGACGGAGGGGAAGAAAGCAAAGGTGAGGCATTCTCCGGCCGCCGTTAAACCCGCGACGCCAGCAAAGGTGAGCTCCGACCGACCGACCGAGCAACCCGAACAGACCGAGAGCCCCAGCCGCCGCAGCCGGCGAGAGAGCGAGATAGACACGAAACCCTAGCGAGGATTCCATCCACGCCACAGGCAAGAAGCGAGGGGGGAGGCGATGGAGTACCCGGCGGCGGCCGCCGGATCGGGGGGCCACAAGTACTACTACCCGCCGCAGCACTCGCAGCCGCAGGCGCTTCGCCGCCCGCCGCGCCCCGCCGCTCGGTGGGTCAAGCAATGGTGCGTTCTTGGCTCCTCTCCCTCTCGCTCTCTCTTCCTGAGAAGGAGAGAATTTCCGCTTCTTCTGACTGGAATTCACCTGAGCTAATAAATTGCGCGCGCTGCATTGTTCTTGGTTGCGCTTGGCTTCGCAGGATCCCGCAGGATCTTGCGTGCTCATGGCAAGTGCTCGCTCTTCAAGTGGGTCAGAGGTACTAACTGTTTGTTCCTACTAAATCTCCCCCCTTTTCTTCATTCCCTTGGTTTCCTCCCGCTTCACTGAGGTTGTATTGTAAGATACTAAGATATACATGGGTTCTTGAATCTGTGACAAGAGTCTAGGTCTAGATGTCCATTGATGACGCTGATTGTTCATTTGTCTAGAGCAGTAGCTAAGTGCAGATTTGTGGTACTCCACAGCTAGCTAGCCGGTGATTACAGTTACAACCCCTTTCCTTACCTGTGTGCAGAGGATGGGTACAGAAACTCCAAGGAGAACCCCAGAGTGCTAGATGTGGAAGCCCCCAAGCCTGAACCTACCACAGAGATCCTCTTCCTCTGCAGCTACGACAACTGCGGCAAGAGCTTTGTTGATGTCAGCGCGCTCCGCAAGCATGCTCATGTGCACAACGAGAAGCAGTATATCTGCACCGAGCCCAACTGTGGGAAGGTATCTCCGCCTGGATCTCAGTTGGAACGAGCATTAGTACCACATACTTATTGTTTGTTATTGTGATATGCACTTGAGCCTTGCTGTACTTATCTGCTCTCAAACACAAAACATCTCGAGATGTTCTTGTTTAACTGAATATGTCTACCACTCCCTATTCCTTATACTGAATATTTCTATCACTCAGGATGTACCTGTCCAGTCTTTATCCTGAGTTCCTGAGCAGTCCTGTTATTTATAATTGTATTGTTTTTTCTAAGATTTACTTCTTAATCGCATTACAACTAATGGCAAAGTAAATCATAACTGAATTTGATGGTACCTATCATACTACGAAGCCTTAAACAAAAATTATGCATTCAACTTTTCAGCCCTTTTGCTGTGTCTTGTCTTAATTACTTATAAACCACACGTCAGATATTATGTATGCCGAGAACTTTCAAATTGTCATTGTAGACCCTAACTACTTTGTTGTTCTATCTGGCAGAAATTTGTTGATAGCTCCAAGTTGAAGAGACATTATCTTATCCATACAGGACAAAAGGATTTTGTCTGTCCACATCCAGGCTGTGGTAAGGTAATCACCTCATCCCTCTCTAGCAATGCACTTATAAGGTATCATGGATTTCTAGTGCACTGTGGCTCTTTTGCTTTCAACCATCACCACGCCCCTTATGTTTTCGGAGTTGTAGATATCCATGCATAGCAAATGTTGTATCGAATGGTGAACTGTCATATGGTATTTTAATTCTCTGTAATTCAAGATGTTCCTTTGATGTTTTTAGTTCAACCTAATCTCTAATCTGATTTCAGTAGATGCATCCAGCCCCATTGTATGTTTGTATACTCAAGTACTCAGTTGCTGTGTTCCCAAACTTGTGGCTAAATTTTGGGCTTTATACAATGAAAAACTTCCAACGTGCACATCCATGACTCCATGAATGACTTGTTTGAAGTAATTTTTTTCCTTCAAAAAATAGGGCCTTTAGCCCAGCCTTTTTCTTTTCTGGGTGTCGGTAGCAGGCCTAGCCCAGCCTTGTTCAAAGGCCATTTGGGGGACAATAGGATGGTGGCCTGACCCCAAACATTCTAGCCAACTGGTCCTTGGCAGTTCCTTTCTTTTAATGTGAATGGATATCTTTTCTTAGAGTCGTGTGTCTTTGGCTATAGTGCATTTACATTTTCAAACAAACAAATGTTTTGAATTTCAGGCCTTCTCATTGGATTTTAACTTACGGTCACACCTGAAAACACATGCATTGGAGAATTATCACATATGCCCTTTCCCTGCATGTGGCAAAAGATTTACAAGTGACTTCAAATTAGCAGCACATGTCAAGTCACATGAAAAGGTATGCTGCTATTGTGCTTAAACTTCTGTAATCATCATTCAAGATGCATTTACCCTTGTGGTTGATTGTTCGCTTCAATATTACTGTTCTTTTATACGATAACTAAATTACATCCTGAGTCCTAGATCCGCATGTGAAATACGTAAAAAAATGATAAAAGATTCTCTTAACTAAATATTTTGTAGACCGTAGTGCTGGCATGCCAGATTGCAGTATGGCTCTGTGCAGCTGTTCAGTTTGCCCTTGTATTGTATGTTGTGCTTATCATATAGTTCTTTGCTGTCAGCCTATTGAGCCTCCTTGTTGATACACAATTCGTTCATATACATCTGTTTTTTATATCAGGTGAAGGATATATCATTGCATTGGAAAGTTCCATAATGTTACATTATAAATATATCACACTTGTCAATACAAACTCTGTATACTTTTCCCTTGTGTAATTTATTCTGTCTATTGAGCCATGGTGCAGATTGGAACTCCTATTGCAGTGCAACATGCGCCAGCACCAGCAGCAGAAAAACCGCGTGTCGCCCAGAAGCCTTCGACTCCAGCAACCACAAGCTATGCTGATCGCCCATATGTCTGCCCCTATGAAGGTTGTGACAAAGCATACATTCACAGTTACAAATTGAACCTTCATCTAAAAACTCAGCACCCTGAACACGGTCAAGAGGAAAATGGTAAGGTCGGTGCTTCTGCTGGTCAGCGTGCTGCGAATGAACAGACCTACCAGTATAACTATGCTGAGGTTGGTGAGATTGCACCAAACCCCAAAAGGAGCAAGCATAAGGTCCACTCATCCAAATCCTACAATGCCAAGACCTCGAGAGCGATGCCTTCTGACATCGGTGGTGTCAGGAACAAGTGGCCAGGTAAAGCTACGTACCAAGATGATAGTGAAGAGACCGAAGAAGACGGAGGCAACAATGATGACGATGAGGAAACACCAGATGAAGATTGACCTTTATATAGGTTTGGACATGTAGATATATGAGGTGGTCTGCTACCCTTTAGTTTCTGCAAACTCTAAACCAATGCAGTCACGGGGGAATTTCAAGCTTTAACCTTAGGTAGTAGTTTGTTCAGATGGTGCATCGGTATATTGTACTCAGTTATCTGCTCCTAAAGGTTCACTTCCCTATGTTCCAGAGTGGCTAATTGTCACATTTATGTGAGATAGTTTGAATATGTTTTCCTTGGAATAAAATTTCATTTGAAATGTTACTCACTTCATTATTTTATAAGATGAACTAGGTAGTTGCAACACCCATCCATGCAGACATGCAGTTTAGCCATAAACATGTTTTATTTACTACAATCTACTTATTTTTCTGGCAAATCACTCAGAGTGTCAGAACAGTTTAGCCTTAAACATGCATCGATATATTGTACTCTGTTTTCTGCTCCTGAATATTCGGTTCCCCATGCGACAGAGTGACCAATTGCCACATCTGTGTGATGAGATAAGTTGGAATCTGTTTCCTTGACACAAGTTGTAATTTGAAACGTTGCTTACTTCAGTTCAATTGTTTTATTTGACGAGCTATGTAGTTATGAAAGACTCATCCATGCAGTTTAACCATGAACAGGCTTTGTTTTATTACAATCTGCGAGTACTTATTTAGGCAGATAACTCTCAGGTGGCCTGCCTACTCTTGGTCCCTGCCAACATGACCTTGAGAATAGGTGTCAGTGTCACCAGGAGTAAAGACAGCGAGTTCATGCTTTCTATATTGTTCTTCAGCTCTGCAGCTTCCTCCATGGAGAATTGGAGGTGCCACACGCGCTGGCGATGACGCCGAGCGGCAAATCGCTCAAGACAAGAGTTCTTCCCAGCAAGTCGATCTACATTCCCACATCAGGTTCAACTCCCTGAGATGAGATGTACATAACCACACCAGCTTCGTAAAACAGGCGGGTGTGGGCTGATGATTTTTGTAAAATAAAATTTGGCATAGTAGTATCGAATGGAAAACTAAGCCCAGCAAGAAAATGGTCATGAAACAAAATCAACTCATCATCACGAGGCTACTTGGAACAATTAAGGCAAACAAATTAGCCGAGAAGCCAGCAATTGCTTTAAAAAAGATACAAGCCAACAACAGAGGTACGATCGACATTATTACAAAGCAAAAGGTTATTACGCAAACCACCTCAAAAGGAAACCAGAGCGTCTCGTCCAGCAGAGCAGTCCCCACCCGCAGCCTCAGTGTATATCAGCTGAGAATTATTAAGAGAAACTACCACAGCGGTATTCTATTAATTTAATTATTAGGTGCAGCAGCAGCAGCTGGGTCGAGCCAGCTTGTGATGGCGAGGTTGGCGCCCTGTTGGATGAGCAATGAAAGAAGGCGCGCCTTGTTCCTCCCGCCTTTGATGGTGCCCTCCCATTCCAGCACCTCCGTAGCCTCCAATGCCTCCTTCACAGATTTGTTCCAGTAGCCGTTGCCGTACTTGTCCGCGAAGGGTGTCTTGAGGTTGATCCACCGGGCGAAGTAATCAGGGGATGCGCAAGTCCTTGCGAAGGCACTCCTGCTTCAGCATCGTGCGGCAGTCCCAGTTGCCCCACGTCACGACGACGACGGCGGCGCTGCTGTTGACGTCGAGGCCGCTGCCGCTGCCGCTCCCGCCGCCACCGCCGCCACCACCTCCTCTTCCATTATTGTTCTCCTGTATCCAGGCTTCGTGCAGCTGCAGCGCCTCGGACAGCGTCACGGCGCCATTACCGCGTTGCACATCTTCCTGCTTGATGCCGTTGTAGTTCTTGCAGAACTCGCTCAGCTCGTGATGTTCTGTTGGGATGACATACTCGTGGAAGGTGGACGACATGGGGTGACCGGTTGCAGCGTCGACGAGGACGGACGAGAACTCGATAATCTCTTGGCTGACTCCATACTTGTTGTCGTCCCTGTTCCAGCAGGTTGCCTTCAAGTCTACGACCACGAATTGGTCGGATGATGACTTCTTGTTGTTGTTCTTACCATCGCCAAACGAAGCATGCCTTGTTAGTTCCTGCTGCTTATTAACTAGTACTGATGATGATGGCCTGAATTGAAAATAAAAAGACACAGAAGCATCGTCTATCAGCGTGCGTGCGTGCGTGCGTGTGTTGAGACTTGCGTGTGGGAATGAAGATGGGTGCAAGCAAGGATCGAATGAAGAGAAGGCGCACGCACTCGGGCTCAACGACGACCTCAATTTCCGTCTTCCTCCTCATCCCAGTTGTTAAACCAATTATACTGATAGAAAGACGACCCATCATGTCAACGATTTCATCCATGGCTTGCTGCCGACTTAGCATGACTATCGATAAGGTTTCTCCACCAAATTCGACACATTATTTTCCAATAATAATACTTCCTCATCACAGCTTCAATACACATGTCTTGCTGACGACTCATCCCCACCATCGGACTACTACTACTACTTGGTGTATACAAGGGACTGTCAGCAAGTTTTCGCTGGCATGGCCTGCGCACAAGAGCAGGTCTGCTGTGCCTTACTAGCACTCCTTGGTCACCATCATAGCCATATGGGCCATCTGCAAAACAAATTGCTTGTTAGACAGTGGAGATCTTTCTTCCAAAACTTCTGTAATACCCTGCTGTAGTCCTCCCCTCTGGTCCTCTACTTAGCCTCTGTCAGAGACTGTAAACTGTTTTTTGTGCCCTGTGCTTGTCGCAGTTTCGTTCAATAAAAGGTAATTGAACTTACATGTATTTTCAATTTGTTCGCCGGCAGCATATCCATTGTCGCATTCACTGGGAGCAGAGTAGCCTTCCTGGGTATGACATGAAAAGATATTACATGCCTCAGGCCACGGAAACATACTCCCTCCATTCCACAAAGTCCAAACTATAAGACGTTTCGGTTCATCTAAATACATAGTTTTTTCTATACACTTAGATATACATATGTTTAGGTACATAATAAAAACAATATAATGTATCTAGGCGGGGGCATGCTCGTCCATACGGAATGACCGTATGCCATCATAGACCTGACAGTGGGCCCAACCAGGCGGGATACATATAAAATGGCAAGGAGCGGCGAGCTATGGAATTGTAATGGCATGTTTCGGAATAGACGAATTACAATGGCAGATGTACAAAGTTGAAGAATTGTAAGGGCACAGATCCAAAAATCCCCTATATTTATTATTATTATTTTTCTATTTATAAGGAAAAAAAGAGGGGGAAAAGTCATGGAACCATGTGTGTATAGATATAGATTAAATTGGATGATAAATCATTTTATATTTCAATCATGGATTGTTTTTTTTCTATTTATAAGAAAAAAATGGGAGACACAAAAGAAGAATAAAAGAAGTCATGGAACCATATCTACATAGATATAGATTAGATTGGATGGTAAGTTATTTAAGACTTAAATTGGATGATAAATCATTTTATATTTCAATCATGGACTATTTATTTTTTCTTTTTATAAGAAAAAATAGGAGACAAAAAAGAAGAATAAAAAAGTCACATAACCATAAGTATATAGATATAGATTAGATTGGATGATAAGTTATTTAAGATTTCAGTCATCACTGGATTATTTTATATTACATTAGATAAGGGTACAAAGTTTAAAGACCCATAATATATTTATTAAAAAGTACGGGACAAATAAGCCACGTATTAAATAAGGGTTTGTTTGGATGCGCATGTATTCATCTCAATCCACACGTATTGGAGTGGATCGGAGTGTAGTTAAACTAAGTTTCATTCCAATCCACTCCAACACACGTGGATTGAATTGGATACACATGTATCCAAACAAGACCTAAATCAATTTCTAGAATCCGTGCCAGTCAAACTTTTTTAAGTCTGACTAATTTTATAGAAAAGAATAACAACATCTATGCAATAAAATGAGCGTCTTATGAAAATATATTCTATTTGATACCGTAAGTCTTAATATTTTTATTTCAAAAAATTCGGTCAAAGTTTAATAAATTTGACTTAAAGACATCTCACGGCCGGACGAGAAGGAAGGGAAATGCTGTCATCTGTGGTGGAGTGAGATTCCCTGTATCGATTTGAGCTGCGTGGTGTTGTTGCCATTTCATTGCATCTCTATGTATATACAACACACGCATATCTGGGCTGGACGAACGAACCCAGCCCAGGTGTGTGGTGTGGTGTGGTGTGTGCTGGTGGGAAGTGTTGGGATGAGTGGTGAGTTCGTGTGAGTTGAGATGAGGTGCATTCCATTGTGGCATTATTGTCGACGGACCCCTGTTCTCCATTGACATCATATATATATGCCCTGTTTTCCTTTTAACATGCCCTGTGTTGTGTTGCCGTGACATCAACAACACGAGACGACGGCCTATAATATGCATGCCATCTCACTCTTGGGGACTCATCTCGTGCAGCGCAGCGTTGTATATATTATTCTTGGCAAGCTAGCTAGGCAGCCTCGGATCGATCATCGACTATCTATCTTCTCAGGTCAGGAAGAAGGAAGAGACGACATGGCCGTGTGGCAGACGGTGGCGCAGATGCTGGGCGTGAACGCGACGCGGTGGTGCTCGTCGGCTTCAAGTCACTGCAGAGCCTGCCGAGGAGGTGATGCGCGCGCGGGGCCTGTGGGCTGGAAACGTGCAGGCCCTCAGCAGCGCCAGCCAACCGCCGCAGCTCCGCCTTCCACGTCCTCTGCAACAGCAGGCGCATGGAGAGGGACATGTTCGCCATGCGCCGCCAAGTCACCAACTGCTACGACCTCGCCGTCGGCAACTCGGCATACACGCCAGCGTCGCCGTCAGCTCGGACGCCAACCCCAAGCACGTGCACGTGCGTGCAGCAGGCCAAACGGCGGCAGAGATTGATGTAGGCATGTGTGTAACAATGTGCTGTGGTACACTTTAAATCAAGTAAAAAAAATAAACCATGGAATTTTTTTGATTAATTTAAATCAAGCCAAAAACTTAAACCATGGATTTTTTTTTTATAGACATTAGCTTCGTGCACACATGTTCAAAACCAAGCGCTCAAAAAGAAACATCAGCCTTATATATTTATATATTTCGATATAAGCAACGCATATACATTCTCTGTAGGGGACCTTTAATTCATGTCATTTATTCCTATATATTTCTCCCTGTTCCTCTCTTTCTTTCTATAGCCTTTTACTTTAATTTTAAAAAAGAAATCTTTTTTCTTTCACAGTTTCGCTATACATCGTCTCCTCTGTTAATGTACAATCAATCTCATCATATAGTAAAATTATACCACTTCTTCCTCAATTCATGTACCCTTTTTCTTTCGAGACTTCTTGCTCTATTAGGACTTGTAGCTCTGGCTCTTTCTTGGCTTCTTACTTTATTTGAACTTTAGCTCTGCCGAACACACCACTACATTTCTGAATGGCTCTTATTCTTAGAAGCATCGAGGTAATTCCTAAGGAATTTTGGGTAAATCATCATGTTTCAATGGAGTCAAAGATTGCTCAACATAAAAAAAAAAGAACAAAGGTATTTTCTGACATTTACACCAAATCACATTTATGTTCTCCTTGAGAGTCAGATGTTCAACGCCGGAGAGTACACCATCTCCGACAGTTTCTCCTTCACGAGCTTCACATAATTCAAGTGAACTGGACACATATGTGATCAGCTCCATTGTTCATGGTCCCTGTCCAAATAATATTCAATCAATTGTCAATGTCCTCCACGTCCTAATATCTAAGATAAAGATATGTAGCTGCATTTTTTTATCATCAGTTCACAATACATCAAATAGTGGGTCACAACAAAATTAAACTATAGATAGCTTATCAATCAAGAAAAGTGGTATTGGAAAATTAGTGATGATTACCAAAACAGATGAATTTTTTTTTCCCTATGAGACTAGGTACATGTAAACAGTGCCGTCTCTCAGAATTAGCAATAATGGTTAACAAGAAAATATGGCACGTGTGCCTACAAGAAAGAAGAGCAGAGTCCATGATATGGTGTTGCAAATCTTGTGCCACTAATTTATAATGCTTATTGGTCCTGAAGCATTGCCTAAACAATAAACTAGTAGACTGATTCATCTTCTACTTATTTATTACATGGCTCCTTTCATTTAGCTGAAAGTACTGTTGGTTGATTTGGTGTGAGAGAAAAATACTGTTTGATTTGGTGCCTTGTTCGCTTGGGCTTGTTTGACTTATAAGCCGTACTTTTTCAGCCAACAAAAAGTATTTTTCTCTCATACCAAATCAGCCAACAGTACTTTCAGCCATGGCTTATGACTTATCAGCCAAACAAGCCCAAACGAACAGGGCGTAGGTTAGCTATCTGTCCTGCTAAAAATGCTATTAATTAGTTATTTGCCCTCTACGTGCTAAATGTTAGTTATTAACACTAATAGATACAAAACAGAAAACAAAATATCTTAGAACACACTCGATTGTGCCATGACCCTTTAACCTGTTCATGAAGAAAAGGAAAAAAAACATCCTAACGAACCCTAGATGACGAACATATAGATATAGATATAGTATTAGTACAAAACTATATCTGTCCCAATGCAATGCAAGTAAACTAAAAGTCTAAAACAGAGAGCGATGTTACGTGATGCTTCCCTGAACTAGGCTCCGTTTGAATCCGTATAGCTAATACTCAATCCATCTCGAATGGTAAGACGTTTGACTTTTTTGACACCAAGTTTGACCACTCATCTTATTCAAAAATTTGTGTAAAATATCACTTCTTTCGTCGTGGTTTGGTTCATTAATAAAAATTCTTCAAGAATGACTTAAATTTAACTATATTTGCACAAATTTTTTAAATAAGACGAGTGGTCAAACTTGGAGCCAAAAAAGTCAAACGTCTTATAATTTGGAATGAAGGGAGTAGTTAACTATGAAAAAATTAGCTCCTTAAAACCAAACAAGTTTGACTAATAGTTTAGCTAATCATTAGCTAAATAGTTAACTAATAATAATTTCACTAGTTGCACTAAACTAGCTAATATTATTTAGACTTAAATATAGAAAATAAATTGGATGGACCAGTGGCACCTAGAGTAGGCTGAGTAGCTCGTGGGCGCACACACACAAACGCATATGCACCGACAAGTGGTTTGGTGCTTAATTACCGGTAGTACTCCTACGAACAGCACAGGGCTGGTGTGGTGTTGCTTGCATCTGTTGTTTCCCGTTTGTCTGGCCTCATGAGCTTCTGCTGTTGGATGGCATGACCCCACCGTGCAGTCGCCGTCGGCCATCGCTATCGCCATCCACTCCCATTCGCGTTGCGTTTTGCCTTTGCTAGCCGCCGCCGTACGCCAGCCTCATAAAATCAGGTGGATTAGGTAATAAATAGACAAAAAAAGGAGTATTTTACAGTCGACGACGTGGATGGTTGCACTGCAACCTGCAACCAAATCAGTTGGGCTACTTGTTTGTTTTGTTTTTTTCTTATCCATATCCATAAATAGAAAAGGCAAAAAAAGAAATACTCATACAGTACGTTTCAGATTTTTCTCTCTCCCTTTTCTTTTTGCGAAACTTGTCTTTTGTTTCACGGCGCTGTAGCAAGTCCAAATCACAACCAGCGCGGGCGACGATTTTTTTTTCACCACTGGTGGTGAGTTGGCAGCAGAGAAGGTCTTTGCATACATGTACACACGTGTTCAGACCTCACTATACAGCCGTTGCTGGCCGGTGTGGTCATCAGGGGTGAAAAATGTAAAGTTCTTCTTACTGCATGGATGCATGAACCATAGCTAATTAGTGCACTTTTTTTGATGATG